CAGCTAACATCTTAATGACAGGATCAAATTCACACATAACAATATTAACCTTAAATGTAAATGGGCTAAAACCCCAGTTAAAAGACACAGACGGGCAAATTGGATAGTCAAGACCCAACAGTGTGCTGTATTCAGGATACCCATCTCATGTGCAGAGACACACATAGGCTCAAAATAAAGGGATGGAGGAAGATCTACCAAGCAAATGGAAAGCAGAAAAAAGCAGGGGTTGCAATTGTAGTTTCTGATAAAACAGACTTTCAACCAACAAAAATCAAAACAGACAAAGAAGGCCATTACGTAATGGTAAAGGGATCAATTCAACAAGAAGAGCTAACTATCCTAAATATATATGCACCTAATACAGGAGCACCCAGATTCATGAAGCAAGTCCTTAGAGACCTACAAAGAGATTTAGACTCCCACACAATAATAATGGGAGATTTTAACACCCCACTGTCAACATTAGATCAACCAGACAGAAGGTTAACAAGGATATCCAGGACTTGAACTCAGCTCTGCACCAAGCGGACCTAATAGACATCTACAGAACTCTCCACCCCAAGTCAACAGAATATACATTCTTCTCAGCACCACATCACACTTATTCCAAAATTGACCACATAGTTGGAAGTAAAGCACTCCTCAGCAAATGTAAAAGAACAGAAATCACAACAAACTGTCTCAGACCACAGTGCAATCAAATTAGAACTCAGGACTAAGAAACTCAATCAAAACCGCTCAACTACATGGAAACTGAAAAACCTACTCCTGAATGACTACTGGGTACATAACGAAACGAAGGCAGAAATAAAGATGTTCTTTGAAACCAGTGAGAACAAAGATGCAACACACCAGAATCTCTGGGACACATTTAAAGCAGTGTGTAGAGGGAAATTTATAGCACTAAATGCCCACAAGAGAAAGCAGGAAAGGTCTAAAATCGACACCCTAACATCACAATTAAAAGAACTAGAGAAGCAAAAGCAAACAGATTCAAAAGCTAGCAGAAGGCAAGAAATAACTAAGATCAGAGCAGAACTGAAGGAGATCGAGACACAAAAAACCCTCCAAAAAATCAATGAATCCAGGAGTTGGTTTTTTGAAAAGATCTACAAAATTGATAGACTGCTAGCAAGACTAATAAAGAAGAAAAGAGAGAAGAATCAAATAGACACAATAAAAAATGATAAAGGGGATATCACCACCGACCCCACAGAAATACAAACTACCATCAGAGAATGCTATAAACACCTCTATGCAAATAAACTAGAAAATCTAGAAGAAATGAATAAATTCCTGGACACATACACCCTCCCAAGACTAAACCAGGAAGAAGTTGAATCCCTGAATAGACCAATAACAGGCTCTAAAACTGAGGCAATAATTAATAGTTTACCAACTGAAAAAAGTCCAGGACCAGATGGATACACAGCAGAATTCTACAAGAGGTACAAAGAGGAGCTGGTACCATTCCTTCTGAAACTATTCCAATCAACAGAAAAAGAGGGAATCCTCCCTAATTGGCTTTATGAGGCCGGCATCATCCTGATACCAAAGCCTGGCAGAGACAAAAAAAAGAGAATTTTAGAGCAATATCCTTGATGAACATCATTGCAAAAATCCTCAATAAAATACTGGCAAACCAAATCCAGCAGCACATCAAAAAGCTTATCCACCACGATCAAGTGGGCTTCATCCTTGGGATGCAAGCCTGGTTCAACATATGCAAATCAATAAATGTAATCCATCACATAAACAGAACCAAAGAGAAAAACCACATGATTATTTCAATAGATGCAGAAAAGGCCTTCGATAAAATTCAACAGCTTTTCACGCTAAAAACTCTCAGTAAACTAGGTATTGATGGGATGTTTCTCAAAATAATAAGAGCTATTTATGATAAACCCACAGCCAATGTCATACTGAATTGGCAAAAACTGGAAGCATTCCATTTGAAAACGGGCACAAGACAGGGGTGCCCTCTCTCACCACTCCTATTCAACATAGTGTTGGAAGTTAAGGCCAGGGCAATCAGGCAGGAGAAAAAAATAAAGGGTATTCAATTAGGAAAAGAGAAAGTCAAATTGTCCCTGTTTGCATATGACATGATTGTATATTTAGAAAACCCCATCATCTCAGCCCAAAATCTCCTTAAGCTGATAAGCAATTTCAGCAAAGTCTCAGGATACAAAATCAATGTGCAAAAATCACAAGCATTCCTATACACAAATAACAGACAAACAGAGAGCCAAATCATGAGTGAACTCCCATTCACAATTGCTTCAAAGAGAATAAAATACCTAGGAATCCAACTTACAAGGGATGTAAAGGACCTCTTCAAGGAGAACTACAAACCACTGCTCAGTGAAATAAAAGAGGACACAAACAAATGGAAGAACATGCCAAGCTTATGGATAGGAAGAATCAATATTGTGAAAATGGCCATACTGCCCAAGGTAATCTATAGATTCAATACCATCCCCATCAAGCTACCAATGACTTTCTTCACAGAACTGGAAAAAACTACTTTAAAGTTAATGTGGAACGAAAAAAGAGTCCACATTACCAAGACAATCCTAAACAAAAAGAACAAAGCTGGAGGCATCACGCTACCTGACTTCAAACTATACTACAAGGCTATAGTAACCAAAACAGCATGGTACTGGTACCAAAACAGAGATATAGACCAATGGAACAGAACAGAGCCCTCAGAAATAATATCACACATCTACAACCATCTGATCTTTGACAAACCTGACACAAACAAGAGATGGGGAAAGGATTCCCTATTTAATAAATGGTGCTGGGAAAACTGGCTAGCCATATGTAGAAAGCTGAAACTGGATCCCTTCCTTACACCTTGTACAAAAATTAATTCAAGATGGATTAAAGACTTAAATGTTAGACCTAAAACCATAAAAACCTAGAAGAAAACCTAGGTAATACCATTCAGGACATAGGCATTGGCAAGGACTTCATGTCTAAAACACCAAAAGCAACAGCAACAAAAGCCAAAATTGACAAATGGGATCTTATTAAACTAAAGAGCTTCTGCACAGCAAAAGAAACTACCATCAGAGCCAACAGGCAACCTACAGAATGCAGAAAATTTTTGCAATCTACTCATCTGACAAAGGGCTAATATCCAAAACCTATAAAGAACTCGATCAAATTTACAAGAAAAAAACAAACAACCCCATCAAAAAGTGGGCAAAGGATATGAACAGACACTTCTCAAAAGAAGACATTCATACAGCCAACAGACACATGAAAAAATGCTCATCATCACTCGCCATTAGAGAAATGCAAATCAAAACCACAATGAGATGCCATCTCACACCAATTAGAATGGCAATCATTAAAAAGTCAGGAAACAACAGGTGCTGGAGAGGATGTGGAGAAATAGGAACACTTTTACACTGTTGGTGGGATTGTAAACTACTTCACTTCCACAACCATTGTGGAAAACAGTGTGGTGATTCCTCAAGGATCTAGAACTAGAAATACCATATGACCCAGCCATCCCATTCCTGGGTATATACCCAAAGGATTATAAGTTATGCTGCTATAAAGACACACGCACACATATGTTTATTGTGGCACTATTCACAATAGCAAAGACTTGGAATCAACCCAAATGTCCATCAGTGACAGACTGGATTAAGAAAATGTGGCACATATACACCGTGGAATACTATGCAGCCATAAAAAAGGATGAGTGCGTGTCCTTTGTAGGGACGTGGATGCAGCTGGAAACCATCATTCTCAGCAAACTATCGCAAGAACAGAAAACCAAATACCGCATGTTCTCACTCATAGGTGGGAATTGAACAATGAGATCACTTGGACACAGGAAGGAGAGCATCACACACCGGGTCCTATTTTGGGGAGGGGGTGGAGGGAGGGATAGCATTAGGAGATATACCTAATGTGAATGACGAGTTAATGGGTGCAGCACACCAACATGGCACATGTATACATATGTAACAAACCTGCATGTTGTGCACATGTACCCTAGAACTTAAAGTATAATAATAAAAAAAAAAGTGGGCAAAGTATATGAACAGACACTTCTCAAAAGAAGACATTTATGCAGCCAACAGACAAATGAAAGACTGCTCATCATTACCGGTCATCAGAGAAATGCAAATCAAAAGCACAATGAGATACCATCTCACATCAGTTAGAATGGTGATCATTAAAAAGTCAGGAAAAAACAGGTGCTGGAGAGGATGTGGAGAAATAGGAACACTTTTACACTGTTGGTGGGACTGTAAACTAGTTCAACCATTGTGGAAGACAGTGTGGCAATTCCCCAAGGGTCTAGAATTAGAAATACCATTTGACCCAGTCATCCCATTACTGGGTATATACCCACAGGATTATGAATCATGGTACTTTAAAGATATATGTATAAGTATTGTTATTGTGGCACTCTTCACAATAGCAAAGACTTGGAACCAACCCAAATGTCCATCAATGATAGACTGGATAAAGAAAATGTGACACATATACACCATGGAATACTATGCAGCCATAAAAAGGATGAGTTCATGTCCTTTGTAGGGACATGGATGAAGCTGGAAATCATCATTCTCAGCAAAGTATCGCAAGGACAGAAAACCAAACACTACATGTTCTCACTCATAGGTGGGAATTGAACAATGAGAACTCTTGGACACAGGGCAGGGAACATCACACACTGGGGCCTGTCATGGAGTCGGGGGATGTGGGAGGGATAGCATTAGGAGAAATACCTAATGTAAATGACGAGTTAATGGGTGCACCAAACCAACATGGCTCATGTATACATATGTAGCAAACCTGCACGTTGTGCACATGTACCCTAGAACTTAAAGGATAATAAAAAATAAAAATAAAAATAAAAAAGTGGTATATATAAAAAAGAAAACAATCTTAATGTAGTTATAGGAAAATAACTCATTACTTCTAGGGGAACAATAATTTGAATGACTGGTTTTCTTATCACAATGAAGGCTAGAAAAGAGTGGAACATCTTTAAAGCATTGAAAGAAAAGAATTGCCAACCCATAAATCTACATCCAGCAAAAATATCCTTCAAAAATGAAGACAACATGAAAATATTCTCAGATGAAGGATAGCTAACACAATTTGTTGCCAGTAGACATGCTGGACCAGAAATGTTAAAAGAATCTCTTCAGACTAAAGGAAAATGATACCAGAGGGAAACTTGAACCTCGGGAATGGAGAAGCAATAGAAATTACAAATATCTGGGTAAATAGAAAATACTTTTTCCTCTTTTGTTCTTTAAAAATAACTGTTACACTAGTTTCTTATTGCTGTAACAAATTGTATAAAAAGTTACCACACACTCGATTGCTCAAAACAAGACAAATATATTATCACACAGTTCTGCAGGTCAGAAGACTAAAACGGGTTGAAAGGGCTGTGTTACCACTGGATGCTCTAGTGGAGAACCTATTTTTGAAAGGGCTGTGTTACCACTGGATGCTCTAGTGGAGAATCTATTTCCTTGCATTTTCCAGCTTCCACAGGCTGCCTGAATTCCACTGTTTCATTGCCTGATTCTATTGTCACATCTTTTCCTGACTCATCTGCCTCCTTCCTTCCTTTACAAGAACCCTGTGATTACACTGGGCCCATCCAGATAGTACTAGATAATCTTTCTATCTCAATATTCTTAACATAATCACATCTGCAAAGTCCCTTTTGCTATATGAGGTAACATATTCACAGGTTCCAATATGTAGACATCTTTGAGGAGCCATTATTCTTCCCACCACAACAATTGTCAAGGATTCAATAATTCTTATACAATTTAAAGTGTTCTAGAGCATAGGAAAATGTAGAAATGTACCCAATTCGTTCTCTAAGGCTAACATAATACTTACATCCAAACAAAGAAGAATAGAAGTAAAAAAGTAAACGTGAGAGGTCAGTCTAACTTAGAACTACAGACGAAAATATCCAAAATAAAATAGTAGTAAATTCAAGCTAGTACTGTGGCAAAATAATAGAACAGTGCAAATAGTCATATTTTTATGTCTGTGTTATCTTTGCTAGATTTTAGCATCAACATTATGGAGGCTATGCCTGGACTCAACAATACGGACTTCTACTCACCAAGGCTGATCTTGTACTAATACTAAGTGCTCAACCTGACAACAGAGAAGATGATGAGCTTCTATAAGACACCATTCCTTAGGGGTCTCAGTCAGTCCCATGGTCGTAGGATTATTACATGGGACACCTTTCATCATGACAAAAACAGAAACTTTTCCTCATGGAAATGAACATGTATTTCAGACACACATTTACCTTCTTTGCTGACAATGATTCTGTCATCACCATCTCCATGGACTTCCAGAATGCCTTAATCATCATCAGGGTATCCTACACAAAGTTGTCTCTGACCAAGGAACTCATTTAATGACAAGTGAAGTGCACATCCAAAGATTCACTAGTCTTTACTGCTTACTTTACCATGCAGAAGCAGCTTGCCTTACACAAAAATAAATAACTTACTGGAAGCTTAGTTATGGGATCAGCTGTTCCTGGGAGTACTGTATGAGAAGATTGCAATAGGTGCTTTAACAGAACCACCCATATATTGTGCTTTTTCCCCCCATAGTGAGGTTACACAGGACTAGGAATAAAGCAGTCATGAAAGGAGTGGCCCTTTTCACTATTACACCAGTTAACCTACTGAAGAAATATGTGATTCTTGTTTTCTGTCTTCATAACCTTGGACTCTTAGGTACAGCAGGGATGAATGCTTTCACCAGGGAATAAAGCTATGATTCCATTACATTAAAAGCTGAGACTACATTCTGACCATTTTTGTCCTCTCCTGCCACTGAACTGACAGGCAGGGAAAGGGGCTGCTATAGTGGCTAGAGGGATTGAACCCAATTACTAAGGGGAAATAAGGTTGCTGCTATACAAACAGGGAGAGCTATGCTCAGAGCCCACGGATACTTACTGGGGCACCTCCTAGTACTGCTTTGCCTAATAGTCCTGGTAAGTGGAAAAGTGCAGAAATTCAATAAACACAGGATTGAAGATTAGGGTGACTGCGTCAGGGAAATAATTTTGACCAGGTTGCTGTAAGGGGAATATGAAATGGGTGGTAGAAGAATGAGGTTGATTATTAACTTTGGCCTCATGATCAGCTTCAGAGAGAAACTGTAACAGCTATGCACATCTTTGTTAATTTAATTTTTTCTTCCTTTCCTCTGTTTATATGAAAAACACTTGAGACAATTGTTATAAATCAGGTTTCAGGTGGGCGAATATGGTTGCATTAGCATTATCCTGTAACAGTACAATGGCTGATGGGATTTTTTTTTGTCCCTGCCTCCCTGTTGGGAGAATAGAATAGCAAGAATAGATGCTGAATGTGAAAGGAGTAGGCCATGGTGGTTAGTCTTTATTTTCCCACACATCCTTATTAATTTCCTGTCCTTCTCAGCCCTGGGAGGCTGATCCTTAGGGACTACATCCCCCTGGCTCCATTTGTAATTGACTTCTGCTTGGGATTGGTCAATGGAATGCACTGGCACAGCTTTGGCGGGAAGAAGAGAGAAGACAATGTATTTCTTCACTGCTCCCACTCTGATTTGGACTATTTTTTATTGGCAGTGACTACATCCCTTCAAGATTTTAGCTTCTTCCAGAAGTCCCCTCCTCCATGACTCTAGCTCTCACTAGGCTCCAGAAATACTATTTCTTCCTCTTGCCCTTTTAGGCCTAGGATAATAGCTACCTGCTATTGCTAACCTCTGGGTGCCACAAAATTGCTTGTTGGGTCTCATAATCTTGCATTTCCCTCTGTAAGTAGTCTCTACATTAAAGTCCCTTGAACCATCTGATTTAGATTGTTTTTTCTAGCTAGGACTCTCACTGAGGTGCTGGTATGAGGCCTAGAATTACTGCAGCTATTTTTATACCATTACAATGCACAGTCAAGGATAAAGCTTATATGTAAGGAATGAAGCAGAATCTTAGTCAAATTGTACTTAAAGTCGGATAACTTCTGGATGCAACTTACTGAAGTAAGAATAGGTGAATATTTCTTAAATATGACAAAATATATACATTTCTAACAAGAAGCCTTTCATGTTTAAGGGATAAACACTAGAAGCATTTCCATTAAAATTAGGAAAAAGACAAGAATACCAGTTATTTCCATAATTATTTAACATTGTTCTAGAAGTACTAGTTAATGCAATTAACCAAGAGAAATAAATGTAATATTAATATTGGAAAGGAGGGGGCAGGCAAGATTATCATTACTACAAATGAAGCAAATCTAACAGAATCAACTAAAGACTACTTGAAACCTTTGGAACTCCATAAAAAGGCTGGTTATGAAATCAATAGATTAAAAACTGATCACTTTCATATATAAAAACAACAAACAAAAATGTAAAAAAAGAAAAAATCCAAATGACAATAGGCACGGGAAAAGATAAGCTATTTTTGAATAAACTTAACAAAAAATTTGTAAGACATATCCATTCATTCAGTAAATATTGATCGATAACCTACAGTGTGCCAGGCAATGTTCTAGGAGTTATTTTTATTAAAAAACTTTAAAAACCCTGCTGAGAAAAATAAAGACAAATAAGTAGAAAAACTGGGTTGTTGGATAGAAAGATATTCCTGTGAAGATGCCAATTATCCCTCAGTTAACTTATAAATTATATGCAACACAAATTGAAATTAAAAACGGTAGTTTTTAGGGGACTGTAACAAAATAACAAATTTTAGTCAGTAAGTAAATACATGTGAATAGGCAGGTAATGATAAAAAAGATGAGTTATGAGAGACCTTACCCTTCAGATATTGAAACATATTATGAAGACACTATAGTTAAAACAGTTTGTTATTTAAGAAGAAAGAAAAGATAACAGATTAAAAGAATATAATAAAGAATAAAGAACTAGATACAAACATATGTGGATGTGTAGATTATGATAATTATGGTAAAGATGGCACTTTAAATCAGTGAGCTCAAGAGGGGATTATCTGATAATTAGCATTAGGACAATTTACTAGCCATTTGGAAGAAAATAATTCCATATGGACCAAAAATAAATATAAAAGGAAACATAAAAATTAGGAGAAAACACAGATCTCCCTAAGCAGGATACAAACCTCAAAAATGTAAAGAAAAAAGTTGGTAAATTTTGTACTGTAAAGATGAAAAATTCTATATAGTAGAAGTCCAAAAAAATTATAAATCAGGAAAATATTTATAACACTTATGAAAGTCAAAAGACTCATTTGCTTAATTTGCAGAAAGTTCTTATGTATTAGTAAGAAAAAGATGAACAACCTAGTTAAAAAATGAGGAAAGACAGTACACAGAAAGATAAATACAGATGCTTAACAAACCTCTGAGAAGATGTTTAATCTCACTTATAATTAAATAAATTATTTGGAGTACAACATAGAATGCACATATATATATGTATGTATGTATGTATCTATCTGTCGATGTATATATTTATAAATTTAAGAGATGAAAGTTGGCAGCATGGGTAAAATTTAAAATGAACACCCATTTTGACACAAGTATTTTACTTCTAGGAATTTATCTTGAGGAAATAATATCATAGTTGCCAAAATATATGTATACAAAAGTCTTCACTGCAACATTTTTATAGTAGATAAAGATTAGGAAGAGGCTAAATATCAATCAGTAAGAGATTGGTTAAATTCTGGTAAATCCACGCTACAGAATATTAGTGTGTCTGCTAAAAGATTTACATGACATATCAGGTGAAAAAAATAGTTATGCAGGATAATATGCATACTATAATCCCAAATTATTTTAGAAAGATATATGTGTACACACACACATAATGTATCTACATATATTGTTTGGTAATATATATGAAACAACAACAAAACCTGGAAGGAGTCACCTGAAAAATTAACAGTGGTTTTCATAGGATTTATCCTAGGATTGAAGTAGATTGGTTATCACAGTAGTTATCAGAAGGGTGGGGGAAATTGAGATTTTTTATTTTCTCTTCCCCTCTTTTCCTAGTTACCACCTGCCTTCCTTCATCTCAGCTGAAAACTTCATTCTCTCTGCCCCAGTAAGGAAACTTTCCCTGATTCTCAGACTATACCACTTTTTTAAAAACTACATTAACAGAGGTTTTTTCCTTTACAGTATTTCTCTCTCTCTCTCTCTCTCTCTCTCTGTGTGTGTGTGTGCGCGCGCACGCTTATTTTATTAAGGTCTTATTTCCACCATGAGAGAAGAGTCTGTGTTGTTTTTGCTTACCAATACATTCCCAATAAGCTCAGCACTTGTGGCCACTCTCCCTACTTCCTTTCCTTCCCAGTATTATGATGTGGACAATTTAATTTTCCTCAGTCTTATATAAAGGGTTATAAAAGTGCAGCTTTAGGCATCCCCCCAAATCATCCATACACAGATGAAGAACACATGAAAAACAAACAGCAAATGTCAGGTTACACTAAACAATGAAATATTAAGGGCACTCCCATTTACTTCAAGAATAAGATCCGGAGGCCCTCAATCACCATTATCATTCAAGCTAATTCTGGAGGTTCTGGTCAATGGAATACATGCAGAAAATGAAAGAATACGGAATATAAATACTCATGAAGAAGAAATGAAAAATCATCATTTGCAGATATTATGCATGCATACCTAGAAAAACCAAAAGTATCAATGAAAAAACTATTAGAAATAATAAGAATGGTCACTAAAGATAAATATATCATAATTAATTACTTTACCTGAGACAAACAATAACCAGGTAGAGCATGCAATCATAATGGGAATGTCATTCATATAAACAAAACACAAACATAATAAGAAATGAGTATAAAGAAACATAACATTTATTGAAAATCTCAAAAGTTGGCATGGATAGAAAGACTCCGTTTTTAAAGATATAAATTCTCTAATTAAAGTGCAGATTTATTGCAAGTACTGCAGTAAATGCCAATTGTTTTGTTTTGTATATTGTTCGACTTGGAACTTGACACATCCACATACATATACTGTATATTTGCAGGAAGAAAGGTGGATATCATTGAAAGAGCTTGGCAGTAGAATAGGCATTGCAGGGCAGTTTTGCATTCTACTTTACAGATTTCTGCACTTAAAAAATATAAGTATATAACTAGAGACAGAGAAGAGGGGAGAGGAATAGACTTTCTTTCTTTTTCTTTTTCTTTTTTTTTTTGAGATGGAGTCTTGCTCTGTTGCCCAGGCTGGAGTGCAGTGGCACAATTTCAACTCACTGCAACCTCTGCTTCCTGGGTTCAAGCAATTCTCCTGCCTCGGTCTCTCAAGTAGCTGGGACTACAGGTGCGTGCCACCACCCCCAGCTAATTTTTGTATTTTTAGTAAAGACAAAGTTTTACCATGTTGGCCAGGCCTCGAACTCCTGACCTCAAGTGATCCGCCAGCTTCAGCATCCCACAGTGCTGGGCAGGAGTAGATTTTCTGTTGAGGGGATATATAGCTTTTTTTTTCAGGAAAGTATTAGTAGTTCTTACTTTTTAAAAGTCATACACGCCTGTGAGAATCCGATGAAAGCTATGGCTGGCTCCTTTCTCCACGAAAATGAATATACCTATGCACACAATCGCAGGTGGTCCACAAGGTTGTCCGTGTGAGAATGCCTACTCTGGGTTAATCCGTGGGGATTGTTCCTTGGGCATACATTTGGCTGAGTGGGCACCAAGGTGGATATGAACTGGCAGGCAGTAACTCTGCAACAAGATTAGGTTCTCTTTTTAAGGAAGCCAGAGGCCAAGAAGCCCAGCGGGCTACACCTCTCTGGTCAGGTGGTGGCAGCACACAGTACTAGGAGCAACTACTCAGGCACCATGAATAATGGCAAGAGGCGTAGGTAGGAACAGTAAGCCCTTCGATGCATTGCTGAGTTACCTCTGTGGGAATTTGAGGAAGGAAGGGAAGGAGCCAGAGGTCTTTACTCTGATTGGTCACCTGAGTAAACGTGGCATTTACCACCTTGGTCACTCATCTATATATATTTTTGGAGTGAACAACAGACCAGTGCCTGAATACAGGGGATGAGAGGCTATGGAATGTGGAAGGGTGGGAGGGTAGCACCTACTTCCGCTGTTGACAGGGCAGGGAGGATTAGAACATCTCTGCATCCCTCACACCCTCAGGTGCCTCAGCCTTGGTAGACTGGAATTCAATTCAAAGGCAGGTGATCAGAGTAGCCATCAAATCACCATAGGTTCATATAACAGTTGGTCAAGACTTTGGGATGTTAAATACACGCTTTAATTAAATAAGACAGGGTTGTGTTGCTTTTATCTTATCAAATTGCAAGTTGATTCAAAAATTGAAAAAGTAAGGAATCATTTGTGTAAAACGGCCAAGATTAGACAACTGGTTGTCTCTTTGTGGACTAATTCATAGATCATGTAAAAAATCCATTTTTTTTTTCTTAAGAGATAGAGGCTTGCTCTCTGTCACCCAGGCTGGAGTGCAGTGGTGAGATCATAGCTCACTGCAGCCTTAAACTCCTGGGCTCCAGCAATCCACCCACCTCAGCCCGCTTTTCAATTTTAAAAATGAGTTATTTTGTTTTAAAAGCTACTATTTGGCTGTAACCAGTAGAAATATTTTCCTTCTGTTACAAATAAAATAACGAAATTAATGAGGCCTTTTGGGTTTTCTCTCCCGTTTAAACTCTCCACTCAAAGGAAGATAGCATCATTTTATTTCCTCAATATAAAAGTAATGCATTACTGATTTAAAAACAAATGAGCAGAAAAGTTTAAATAAGACACTCCCACGATCTGTCTCCTTTTCCAACACCTTGCTCCACATTTTACAGTGGTGCAGAAGAAGTATTGGACATTCATGACTGGTGGTGGGGGGAGGTATAGAGAGAGACAGTTGGACTGAGACGAGAGAAGATAAAAAATTATTCCTCGAAGAGGAAGAAAAGGCCAACGGACACGGGAGCAGATACAGCCTCTCCCTGTAAGCCAAAGAAAGGCAAATTCCAACCACAAACGGAAGCTACTTCTGGTCTCCGGGATTGGCAAAGAGGAAAATGAGTGGCAGGACCTGATGTGTCAGGGAAGGAAGGGGAGGGCCGGCTTCTGCGGCGCTGCTGATGGGAGTGGTAATTGGGGTCCTGATCTCACGGTTGACGTGGCCCTCACGTGAGCTGGAGCCGACGCGTGCAGACGTCCTTCTAATCTTAGTCTTCGTTTGGTCCGGTTGCACTCTCCCTATCGCCCAGAGGGCGAGAGGGCCTGTGGCCTGGGGGAAGGAGGACGAGGTTACTGCCTGGATCCCAGCAGGTTTGTGTGTGGATGGGCGTTGCCAGGGGATCCCTGCGGCGCGGGCAGTGAAGGGTGGAGGCCGAAGGGGGAGCAGTTCGCTTTCTCCAAACCCTTGCAGTATTCCTGTCCCTTTCTAGAACAAAAATGGTGGACCTTGGGGCCGGATTCCAGGGGCGACCCCAGACTCGGGCGTGGTGGGACCTTTAACATCCAGGGCCTTGAATCAGGGAGGGCAGATATTCGGATTCGTATCCTGTGTGCTGGTCCATCTACCAAGCCAGAATCTTGGGGCTGTGCGTCTGTCTGACAGTCATTCCCCTTTTCTTTCAGTAGGGCGCTGTGCCATTTGGGAACAAAGGAATAGTCTGCCTGGAATCCCTGCAGGTCAGTGTAAAGCTGGGGCTGTTCCGCGGCCCACGGAAGGACTGGGATGACTGAGGTCCTTGCCTTAACTTGGGCCCTTTACCGACTCTCAAGCAATCTTCCTGCCATTTTTTTTCCTTTAGGAAAAAAGGATGTAACAGTGCCTGCAGGAAAAGTGCTTGTCATTGCGGGTAGGGTGCATTGGGGAGAGGGATAGAAGAGATCGGTTGGTTTTGTTTTCCTCCTCGTATTTTCCATATTCCCCCCTCGCCCCGCCCCGCCCCGCTTCCAGTGGTTTGAAAGGGGTGTGGTTTTTGCTGGGAAAATGGCCGACCGCTGGGGCTGCGGGAGGGAGGGCCGGAGGCGGGGACCGGGGGTGGGGGAACACTACGTAGCGGGAGGGCTGGTGTCAGCCGAGTCCAGAGAAGTGAGGGTAGGGTGACAGACAAAAAGGTAAACTCCGTTGACAGCCAGGACCCTGAATTAGGAAAAGCGGATGTTGGGACTCTCCGAAGTGCTTTTCTGTCCGCTGAGCCATCAGTTTCTGCCTTGTTGCTTGTGTCTGCAGATCTTGGGGCCAGAGGCCAGTCCAACCCTTGGAGCAGGAAGAAACGCAAAGTTGTCAAGAACCAAGTAGGTCATAATAAGGGTGATGGCATTATTTGGGGGTGGAGCATGGTGGCGACTGCAACTCGAGTGGGCCCGTGGACCCCCTCCACATCTCCCTTCTTCCCTTCTTCCCTACACAATTTCGGATCTTGCAAAATAAATTGCTCTGCAGGTACAAGACAGGGAAGCAAATAGCTGAGAAGGGGTGGGCGTCAAGAGAGTCCAGGGGTTGGGAGGACGTTACTCCAAATTACTGTTTGAGGTACAGTGTCCTTGGTGTTGGTCCGTCGACCAAGCACTCACTTCTGAAGTTTGTTAGTCTTGAAGGTTTAGTGGAAGCAGAAACTGAGGTAAGGGAGGTAAGAAATTGCTCCCGAGCAGAGGTAGTTGGTATAACGACACGGCGGGGGTGGGGGGTGAGTGGGGGTGTCCTGGTACCTTTGAGATGGAGGAGTTGGCGGAGGCAAGGACAGAGTTGGAGACCTTTACGCATTTCACGCCAGTCCGGCTTTTAGATATTCTCACTTCATTTTGTTACAAGGAAAATGTTAACAATGAAAATGTGTGGCGACATCTTCGGAGGATGCCAATGATAAGAGTAGGGGTGGAGGTGGAATGGAGGGTTAGAGGAATCATCGAAGGAGGAAGAGGGAGGGAGACAATGAATTCCAAAGCCGCACCTCGGTGAGGAGTGGAGGGCAACCGAAGGCGGGAAACATCGGGCAAGGCAGTTGTAAAGGGCTAGGAATTCAGAAGAGGGATGTATGTCCCGTCCCGGGTGATATCTGTATGTCCCCCTAGCTCTCGGCACCCCCTCCTCGCGTCCTTGTCTGCAGGTTTGCACGAAGCAGTGCCCTTGGAAGCAAGAAAGAGAAGGAAAAAACTGCCTGGACCTCTGTGGGTGCATGTGGGGGCGCCACTGTTCCCAGGACATCTGAAGGGCAGGATGGCAGGGAACTTTAACATTCTGGGGCGACGTGGTGGAACGTGAGGTTGGAGAGTCTTGAAGTGGGGAAAATTTCCAAACTTAGCTTCCGGATGGAAGAAAGGAATCAGTGATCTAGATATTAAGCCCCGAGTTTGCCAATATATCTGTATTTTTGTACGTTTGTTTGTCTTGCCGTTGTTTCAGTCTGTTTGCGTGGCAAAGACACAAAAGGAGGAGGAGCCTGAAATCTGAACTGCATCCTTTATTCCTAGGTCAAGCTGCCTCAGAGCCGGCCAGCAGTAGCTGCAGACTCCGCCCGCGACGTGTTCGCGCTTCTCTGGGCCAGAGCGAGCCTGTTCTGTGCTCCGGTTAAGAGATTTGTCCCGGCTATACCATGGGCCGCACTCGGGAAGCTGGCTGCGTGGCCGCTGGTGTGGTTATCGGGGCTGGTGCCTGCTACTGTGTATACAGACTGGCCTGGGGAAGAGACGAGAACGAGAAAATCTGGGATGAAGACGAGGAGTCTACGGACACCTCAGAGACTGGGGTTGAGACTGTGAAAGGAGCTAAAACTAACGTTGGGGCAGGGTCTGGGGCCAAACTTCAGGGTGATTCAAAGGTCAAGCCTGAGGTGAGTTTGGGACTCGAGGATTGTCCAGGTGTAAAAGAGAAGGCCCATTCAGGATCCCACAGTGGAGGTGGCCTAGAGGCCAAGGCCAAGGCCCTTTTCAACACGCTGAAGGAACAGGCAAGTGCAAAGGCAGGCAAAGGGGCTAGGGTGGGTACCATCTCTGGGAACAGGACCCTTGCACCGAGTTTACCCTGCCCAGGAGGCAGGGGTGGAGGCTGCCACCCTACCAGGAGTGGATCTAGGGCTGGGAGCAGGGCAAGTGGAAAATCCAAGGGAAAGGCCCGAAGTAAGAGCACCAGGGCTCCAGCTACAACATGGCCTGTCCGCCGAGGCAAGTTCAACTTTCCTTATAAAATTGATGATATTCTGAGTGCTCCCGATCTTCAAAAGGTCCTCAACATACTGGAGCGAACAAATGATCCTTTTATTCAAGAAGTAGCCTTGGTCACTCTGGGTAACAATGCAGCATATTCATTTAACCAGAATGCCATACGTGAATTGGGTGGTGTCCCAATTATTGCAAAACTGATAAAAACGAAAGACCCCATAATTAGAGAAAAGACTTACAATGCCCTTAATAACTTGAGTGTGAATGCAGAAAATCAGGGTAAGATTAAGACGTACATCAGTCAAGTGTGTGATGACACCATGGTCTGTCGCTTGGACTCAGCTGTGCAGATGGCTGGGTTAAGACTGTTAACCAACATGACTGTGACTAATCATTACCAACATTTGCTTTCCTATTCTTTTCCAGACTTTTTTGCTTTGTTATTCCTGGGAAATCACTTCACCAAGATACAGACTATGAAACTAATTATAAACTTTACTGAAAATCCAGCCATGACAAGAGAGCTGGTCAGTTGTAAAGTACCATCAGAATTGATTTCCCTTTTTAATAAAGAATGGGATAGAGAGATTCTTCTTAATATCCTTACCCTATTTGAGAATATAAATGACAACATAAAAAATGAAGGGCTTGCATCATCCAGGAAAGAATTCAGCAGAAGTTCACTTTTTTTCTTATTCAAAGAGTCTGGAGTTTGTGTTAAGAAAATCAAAGCACTAGCAAATCACAATGATCTGGTGGTGAAAGTAAAAGTCCTGAAAGTATTAACCAAACTCTAATTTGGAGTCTGTCCCAAAGAGTATTGAGGTATTTGCACTTGGTACGATGTGTTTTGTAAATTCTTTGTTTTTCATTGTGAATATATGGTAAAGAGATCTTTTCAGCTGCTATTTTGGAATAATGACTATCATATATCATAACAGTGACTGATGTTGGTTTTAATGGTTGGGTTGAGGATGAACCATTTTAATGATGCCAAATGGAATATTAGTACTTGTACACAGAAAGAATTTATTGATTTGATCTTATTACCTAGATTGAGATATTTTTACTCTTTCCTCTACCTAAACTGACAATGAATTAGTTATACATCATGAATAAGCTACACTTTTATATTAGTTTATATTTGTTAATCTAAGACTTGTGTTCCATCAATAAAGTTGTGTTTTAAGCAGCAGAAAAAAAAGACATTGTCCTTGTCCTTCAGTTTATGATCTGTTTGGAAAGGTAAGATATATGGAAACTAAAACAAAGAGATATTAACAAACCCAGGAGACCATCAATGCTTAGAGGCAGCAGAAACAGCTGCAGGCAACAGTGCGCAAGGAAAGTTTTACAAAGGAGAACTCTTAAGTAAGCTGGGTTTGAAGGACAGGATACAAAAAGTCAGAAGGGCACTCAAGACAGGAGGAGGGATGAAAAGAAAGGCATGGAGATGGGAATCCTTCTCCAGAGAGAAGTGCTGACCTGCTGGAATGGTAAGTGTAGGGAGGGTAGTGATGACAGAGAGAGTCAGGCGGTAAAGGTGAGTCCTATTCATGGAGCACCCCTAACTGCTAAACTGGGGTGTGTGAATATTACTGCATCCACCCCTGGGAGACATCAAGGCCTTTTGTGATCAGAGGAATGACAAGATGAAAGGAAAACGATATGGTAGATTTATGTGCAACAGGAGTCCAAGCTGGGGTGGGGATAGGAGTGGTGACTGGAGATTGGAAAAAACAGGAAGCTACCACAAGTTAGTCCAGGCATGAGATAATAAAGTTGTGAAGTTTTACTAGTGGCCATGGGAATGGTAAGGAGAGGATGGAAATGAGAGACCTTTTGAACCAAAAAGTGCTGAGATGTATTCTGGAGACATACAAAGAGGACCAATTTTATTTTAGGGTCCTTGGGGTATTTGACAGAAAAATGTCCTCTTGGCCAGTTCTGGTATTCATGTAAGTAAACAGTTACAACTTTGGAATAATAAGAAAGAATAAGTTTTAGTGCTTGTATCAGATTTCCTTTATAAGGTTGGTTAAGGTGGGGCCTTTATGGAACCATAGAGAGTGTTGTTGGGATACACATAGAAAATCTACCTCACTCCCACGCCTTAGTGAGGGTGAGGGTGTCAGGGGAGGAGCATTTTCAAACTGCTGGTGGGAGTATACACTGGTACAAGGTCCATTGGAATATATGCACATCCTTTGACCCTGTAATTCCACTTGTAGAAATGTATCTTTAGGAAATAATCACATAATTAGCTTGTAGGAAGCTGTGCATCTTCAAACTGTTTTGAAAGGTGTAAAGTTGTAAATGACTCAAGTATCTCAAGATAGGCAGTTAGCTAAATAAATTAATGTATGTCTACACATTTAAATATTATGCAGCTATTGAAAATATTGATGGACATCTACATTTACCTACATCAGAAATTCAGCATATAGTTTTTTTAAAAAAAATAATTTTTAATTTTTGTGGGTATATAATAGGTATATATATTTATGGGTTACATGAGATATTTTGATACAGGCATGCAATGTATAATAATCACATCAGGGTTAATGGGGTATCGATCATCTCAAGCATTTATCCTTTGTGTTACAAACAATCCAGTTATACTCTTTTAGCTATTTTACAATGTACAATTAAATTATTATTGACTATAGTCACCCTGTTGAGCTATCGAATACTAGATCTTATTCATTATTTCTAACCATTTAGTTTTATTTATTTATTTTTAATTTTTATTTTACTTTAAGTTCCGGGATACATGTGCAGAACGTGCAGGTTTGTTACATAGGTGTACGTGTGCCATGGTGATTTGCTGCACCTATTAACCTGTCATCTAAGTTCTTTCTTCTTGTCCCCTACCCCCCAACAGGCTCTGGCATGTGTTGTTCCCCTCCCTGTGTCCATGTGTTCTCATTGTTCAGCTCCCACTTCTGAGTGAGAACATGCGGTGTTCGGTTTTTTGTTCCTGTGTTAGTTTGCTGAGGATAATGGCTTCCAACTTCATCCATGTCCCTGCAAATGACATGATCTCATTACTTTTTAGGGCTGCATAGTATTCCATGGTGTATATGTACCACATTTTCTTTATCCAGTCTATCATTGATGTGCATTTGGGTTGGTTCCATGTCTTTGCTATTGTAAATAGTGTTGCAATAAACATACGCATGCATGTGTCCTTATAGTAGAATGATTTATAATCGTTTGGGTATATACCCAGTAATGGGATTGCTGGGTCAAAAGGTATTTCTGGTTCTAGATCCTTGAGGAATCACCACACTGTCTTCCACAATGGTTGAACTAATTTACATTCTCACCAACAGTGTAAAAGTGTTCCTATTTCTCCACAGCCTTGCCAGAATCTGTTGTTTTTTGACTTTTTAATAGTAGCCATTCTGACTAGTGTGAGGTGGTATCTCACTGCGGTTTTGATTTGCATTTCTCTAATGATCAGTGGTGTTGAGCCTTTTTTCATGTTTCTTGGCCACATAAATGTCTTCTTTTGAGAAGTGACTGTTCATATACTTTGCTCACTTTTTGATGGGGTTGTTTGTTTTTTACTTGTAAATTTAAGTTCCTTGTAGATTTTGGATATTAGACCATTGTCAGATGAGTAGACTTCAAAAATTTTCTCCCATTCTGTAGTCTATCCATTTTTTGTACCCATTAAGCATTCCCACTTCCCACTTCCCCTCAGTCTTTGGTAACCGTCATTCTACTCTCTTATGAGTTCAATTGTTTGAATTTTTATCTTCCACAAATAAGAGAGAACGGCAGCATATAATCTTAAGTGGGAAAAGTAGGCTGTAAAATCACATGCCACACTTTTTATGAAGAAAACATATCTAAATTATCTCTGCATAAACTCTGCTGCATACTCCGAGAATGTTATTAGTTCTCTATGGATGATTTTATCGACTTTTTACCCATAAAATTAAGATATATCTGCATATTTAAATATTCTGCAGCCATTGAAAATATTGATTGACATCTACATTTATTTACATGGAAAAAATGCAGCATATAATTTTAAATAGGAAAGGTGGTTACATGACTATATACACAGTATATCCCATTTTTGAGAAGTATCAAGCTTTATATGCATTAAAACTTCTCAAAGGCTATATACCCAAATGAGAAGAGTAGTTATTTATTGGTAAAATGATAATGTATGAATTTAATATTTATTCTTTTATTCTCATGTATGTTTTCCTATCTATAATAGATGTTGAGTTGTGTAATTGTTGGGAAAGAAAAATGTCGAATTCAGGTAAGGTTGGAAGTTAAGGAGATGATAGAATGGCAGAGTTTACATGGATATTTTTGGAACACATACTGAGTGGAAAATATTTACAACAAAAAGGGAGATGCATTAAAATTATAGATGTATTGTGAAGATGTGGATAATATCACATTGGGGTAATGTACATAAAATGCTAAAATAGTGTTGGAATATAGCAGTTAATTATTGAAAGTGAACACCCTTAGTTTTCAAAATGGCAGAGTCGAAAATTTTTGGTTTCCTTTTTTTCTAAGGTGTCATTCTACCATACATAAGTGGCATTTGGTAAACAAAATGTTAAAATAATTTCTCTTAGGTGTAGGGTCTTTGTTCTCTTTTAAGAATTGAGAATGCTTCCTTGCTGTGATCTTGTCAATTTCTACGACATTTCTGATGTCTCAGTGATGTTACTGTGGTTTAGACATGAAGCCTAAGTCAGTGTTTCTCAAAGTAGTGTTGGTGGAATACCAGGAATGCATGTATATGTTTTTAGGTTTCACAAGTTCCCTAGAAATGTCTTTTAAATGTTGTTTTCAGGTCACTGGTAATTTAAATAAATTCGTTATAAATATATTTTGTATTTTAACGTGTTACCCAGTGATTTTGGAGCCAAATTTTGGGTTTATATTAAATATTGTCATGGTACTAAGCAGCACTATTGTATTCATTCATCATAAGATAGACTTGTTTAGTATCTCCAAAATTATGATGCACTTACAACTGATGATACCTTAGCATTGTGTCATAGTTTAATTAGAAGTATTTTTCTTTATTTTTAATTTAATTTAACTTAATTAATTAATTTATTTTTGAGACGGAGTTTTGCTCTTGTTGCCCAGGCTGGAGTGCAATGGCACAATCTCGGCTCACTGCAACCTCTGCCTCCCGGGTTCTAGCGATTCTCCTGCCTCAGCCTCCTGAGTAGCTGGAATTACAGGTGCCCGCCACCACGCCCAGCTAATTTTTTGTATTTTTAGTAGAGACGGGGTTTCATCATGTTGGCCAGACTGGTATTGAACTCCTGACCTCAGGTGATCCACCCACCTCGGCCTCCCAAGCTGTTGGGATTACAGGCGTGAGCCACTGCGCTCGGCCAACTTTTCCTTCTTAGTGGTATACAAAATAATTATGTAGGCTGAGTGTGGTGGCTCACACCTGTAATCCCAGCACTTTGGGGGGACGAGGTGGGCAGAACCTGAGGTCAGGAGTTTGAGACCAGCCTGGCCAACGTGGCGAAATCCCGTCTCTACTAAAAATACGAAAATTAGCTGGGTGTGGTGGCACAAGCCTGTAATCCCAGCCACTCAGGGGGTTGAGGCAGGATAATTGCTTCAACCTGGGAGACAGAGGTTGCAGTGAGCCGAGATCGCGCTACTGCACTCCAGCCTGGGTGACAGAGCAAGACTCCATCTAAAAAAATAAATAAAATAAATAAATAAATAAATAAAATAAAAATAAAATAATTATGTATTTAATAATCAGAGGCATCATAGATTAATGAAATTCTTTTTCTAGTCAATGACAAAAATGTAAAGATGTACTCAATATGCAGCAGATGTATTTCCTCTATAATACATAAGTTTGTACTTGCAGAGATTTTGCAGGAGTTTGAGTAAGGACACTGGCAGAAGGATGAGATTGTATCATCAGGCTCTCCTTAATGAAGGAATGTTTAAATTAAGAGAGTTCGTGTTGTCATCAATACCATGTTCATGTTACAGATTGTGATTTAGGGCTGCCAAAGCAACATTATCAATCTCATGAAATTATATGTTATTTACATTTCTTTGGCTTTATAGCTTGGCTTATTTTTAATTTGTGAAGTCGCTTTGTTTTATACTTTCTGTGAAAGCTGTAAATGAACAAAGACTAATATAATATAAAATTTCTTCTAAAAAGTATGCCATCTG